CAGACATATAAGGTGAGCACATAGTCCGATCAGACTGGATTATGAATAATGTAAAAGAAGAAATACCATGTAATACTCTCCCTTATCCCATATTGGACACTGTGAAATGAAGGCGTTTCATTGCTGCTTTGTTTTTATGTCCATTTATTTTAGTTAAATAAACTCCTTTTTAAACAAATTGAAATTATATAATGGGGTAAAAATAGAACTTTATGCTGTGTGGAGAGTTTCTGGTTATAAAACAGCTGAGAGGTAAACCATAAATGAAGAGAGAAAACATAAGTGATACAGACATAAGCAAATCATTCTAAAAATAACTACCAGGAAGCAAGGGAGTTCAGGATATTAAGAGCCCTTCTCTTTGTGGAAACATTGATACCTCTATCAATCCCCTCTCTAGATTCAGTTCCTAAAAGTGAAAAAAAAATCCCAAGAAAAGAAAGATTAAAAAATTAAAAAGAATTTGATATGAGCAAATGGTCCAGAAGTAGGCCAAGTGGTAGAAAGCATAATTTCGTTAGCCGTTAGTTACATAGAGCAGGTTATGTTCCTACCTGAGAAGTCAGAAAGCATTACTGAAAACCCTGGCTGGCATTTCCAGCAATTTGGGAGAACACAATTTACATTCCGAAGCCCAAGGTCAGCATTGCTCTTTAATCTTATATAACATTTCATTACTTATTACCATTTCAGGAGTATAAAATAAAGTTACAGTAGGATTGGCCTTCTCATTCTGATATTTTAGAAAATTCCACATTTTCATGGTTCCTATTGTAAACATGAATAGAATTTTTTGACAGAGCCTGATTATAAAAATATCTAGAAGCTATTAATTCTTATAATTTAAAACAAGACTGTTTTTATGACCTTGTCAATTTATCTATTGATAGTAGAAATGTGGATATTATCTATAAACATGTTTTTAAATGACAGGCATAAAGAATTCTCTGAAGCAGAATAATTTATGGAACAAAGCAGTTAAGGATGAAAAGATTTATCGTGGAAAACAGGAAAACCGGGAGTAAAAAAGTTTAAGAATAAAGTACAATTTGTACTAATAGAGTTTCTCACAATATTTTCAGAACTGTGGTGGAATAAAAAGTGATTGAAAAGCAAAAGAATGAATTAGTATAACTAGAAAAGCTTGTGTTTGGGACAAGAATGGATATTGAAATGTGAGGGTTTTTTTAGAATAAACATTTATATATAGTTCCAGTGAATTCACTTTGATTAAAAGATAATGGATAAGTTGGATAAAATATGTAAAAAAAAAAAATCTCTGGCTCTGATGATGGAAAGGCAATTTCACAGATTTGCTACCACAAATTATTACTTTTTCATAGTGAGAAACCTACATACATTTCCTTTTCTTTTATTCTGATATTCTATGAGCTTCTTATGAGAGATTAGGCAGTGCAAAGGCCAGTATGGCTCAGACAAAGCTGATCACAGAACAGAAACCTCTGCCAACAGAGGTGGCAGCAAATCCTTCTGTGGAGGTATGGCTGACCAGATGTAGGCCTATCTTTTCCAAAGAACCATGGGTGCCACTTCTGTGGCATGAAAACCTCTTTCTGTTTTTTGTTTTTTTTTTTTAAAGGGTTTTCATTTCTTCCAAAAATTGTACCAACATAAAGCAGAGCTTTAGTTGATGCGAGTGTGTTGTTTAGGTATTAGCAGTACTGCCCTCACTATGCACTCATTGGACAGTAGCACAACTCCAAGAAAAGGATGAATAAAACCCTTTTTAAATGGATAATATCTAGTCAAGTTTCTCCCTAATATTACCTTCATTATTTGTAGAGTAAAACGTAAAGGGTTTTAACTTCAGAGAAATGGTGTACAGGCAGGGAGATGGGTGGAGTTGAACTTATGCAGAGATGGGGAGCCACAGCTCCTGGAGTCAGATATGTCATCTCTTAATGCTGTTTATGCCATTGCCCTGTTATTGGATGGTGCACAGGTAATGGAATTATCTGGCTTAGTTTTCTCTTTACTAAAATAAACTTAACATCTGTTTCATACAGTTAGGGGAACGGGCCTGGGACTGAGGAAACTCTCAGTAAATGTTGACTATTATAATTACAACCTTAGTATGACATCCTCCAAAATTCTTAACTTTTTGATAACTGGTAAGAGATATTAAGGGGCAAGAAGATTCTTCTGGGGTACCACTCTCCTTGACTTCCTTCAGATTTTGCTAGCTTCAAATCACAAGTCATCAGTAAAGGCACCATTGTGTTCCAGAATTGTAAAGTATCTGTCTGGTGGAGGCTTTATGAAGACACCAAGTTGTTTTGGTTTGGATTATACTTAATTTGTATTTAAATACATATAACATTTTGGAAGTTAGAGCTAGTATTTAAACCCACTGGACTAAAAGATATGCCCTAGGGGGAAAGTTTCCACTGAAGCAAAAGAGTCTCAGAGTTGAGTCTCAAGGCATAACATTTAGAAGGCCAACTAAGAGGAGGCACCAGCAAAGAGAACCAAGGATGGCTGTAACGAAAGAACACCAGAAGAGTTGGTGTTATGGAAGCCAAGAAAAGATAAGCTGGCAAGTAGGGAGTAGGCACTTGTGTGAAATGTTGCTGAGAAGGTAAGATGAAGACTAAGAAGTGACTATGAGATTAGGTTACATGGAAGCCATTGGTGACTTTGCTTAGTGAAGTTTCAATGGAGTGGTGTTGATGGAGACTGAAGGCAGAACAGGAAGTGTGGAAATGGAAAATGACAACATAGGCTAGTCTACCTCAACCCTAGATTGACCTGTGGAATTTTAGAGAATTTCCAGTGTTTCATCCCATACCAGAAGTAGAGGGATGAGCTTGAAAGTATTTTTGAAGCTGGAGTATTGTTAATGAGTTTCCAGATAATTCTAATATTGCTGCCAGCATTGAGAATCACTATTATAAACAAATGTTTCTAGAAGTTTTTTTTTTTTTTTTTTTTTTTTTTTTTTTAGAGACGGAGTTTTGCTTTTGTTACCCAGGCTGGAGTGCAATGGCGCGATCTCGTCTCACTGCAACCTCCGCCTCCTGGGTTCAGGCAATTCTCCTGCCTCAGCCTCCTGAGTAGCTGGGATTACAGGCACGTGCCACCATGCCCAGCTAATTTTTTGTATCTTTAGTAGAGACGGGGTTTCACCATGTTGACCAGGATGGTCTCGATCTCATGAGCTCGTGATCCACCCGCCTCGGCCTCCCAAAGTGCTGGGATTACAGGCTTGAGCCACCACGCCCGGCCTCTAGAAGTTTTTGAGTGTGTGTGACAGAAAGCAGAGGGTGACCATGTAGCAGGAAAAGTATATGTTGTTATTAAATGTAGGTTTGATTGTTTTTTAAATATGAAATACAAGAGGATGTTATGAATTCATGAGGAAAATCCTGACTACAGGGAGAGTAATTGATGATTCAGGAATAAGAGGAAACAATAGCAAAAGGAAATTCCTTGAGGAGGGCAGAGGGGACAGAAACTGCATAATTATAGAAATCATATCTGATGGTAACAAGGGCAGGCATTTTCATTTTCACCAGTGAAGAAACTCATCTTGCCTGGTTTGCACCTGTATTCTGATTCTGAGTAGGGAAAACGTAGAAAACAAGGCCTTAAGGGTTTTTTTGTTTTGTTTTGCTTTGCTTTAATTAAATCTTAATTTCCCCTAGAAACATTAATCTTTTGGAGTCATTATGATCAGGAGGTAAGTCAACATATACATAAAAATACTCACCTATCCTCTATTTAGTTAATAAGAATGAACAATCTATTAATCCGTTTCATACACAACTTTCCAAAGTTTAAGAATAGAAGTTTAACCACTTATACCTGACATAGACAAATACAAGAGTAAAATGGAAATTCATTGCCTAAACTGATATTCAATAAGTTACTAAAACATATTAGAGAGGAAGAGATGCTCTCATCAAGAATGGGAAATATAGAAGGCTACTTTTCAATGAATGGTACAGAAATCTTTGAAGATTCTAAAGCTTAATGGCTACATAAAAAAATGGGTCTTTTTTTCTGATTGTAAAGAAGTTACCTGGATTTGTAAAGAAAAAAAATGGTTTAATTAAGCCTCCAAAATTCACTAAGTTGAGTGAGATTTTGTTACATTAATTTGATATCTGTCTAGTCCAAGAGAGGAATGGAATTTGCTCAGGGTTGTAATCCAAAGAGATCAAGACCTGAGCATATGGAGGAATCCTATAATCCCCATGATGTACTGATTGATTTGTGTGGCTGCAAATTTTTCCTAACAACTAAAGGCGATAGAAAATAGATTTCTTGTACCTGGAGTCCTGTTAAGAAATAAGTTCGCATTCAGATATCTATATACAAATGCCTTCATTCCAATGTCATTTGTAATAATACTTGCACAAGGATAAAATCTAACAGTCAACAATAGGGGACCAATCAACTAAAACAGCCATTGAAATATTTATAAGGTATATTTTATTAAGAAATTTCATAGGAAATGAGGTAAAATATTTAAAAAGTGAAGACAAAATACAGTATATTTTCAGCTAGCTGAAAAATACAAAATAAAAAGTAAGATGATAAAATCTTAACCATGCTTATTTTGGGGTGGGGAAATTGTCTGTGATTATTACGTTTTATTCTTCTTCCCTTTCAGCGTATTTGAGTTTTCACAGTGTGCATATATTTTTCTGTATTTAAAAAAAAACATTCCTTTTACAGCTATACTTAAATCAGGAAAATTATATAAGCTCCATTTACTCATTTCCCTTTTCAATATAATTTTAAAATAAAAGATAAACTCAATTTTTTATGTAATCATTAATACTGTAAAAAATTTTTAGAACACTTTCCAAAGGACATTATTCCTATGAGCTAAGATATCTAAAATTTTGGTTTTAAAAAGTCAAAATATTTTAAGTGCTTTAACATCAAAGTCAATTAGAATAATGGAAAGTTATAAAAAGAATCATGTGCAAAAATATTTGCTCTGTGTTTATCATTTTATGGTAAACCTTCACTTATTTATTCCAGATGATGAGATTAAGACATCTGGTACAGTATGAGGAAACACTATTAAAAAAGAAAAAAATACATTAAATTTAGTTGTCCTAATTACCAAATCAAATACAAAAATTGTTATAACAAAACTGAGGTTGTGTTATACATATGTACTCACTGTTTACATTGAGGCTTGAATCATGATGGCACAAGGATTTTTCTGTTCCCTTCATCTTTGATTTTGTCTGTCCATGTCTTGATCATTCAAAACCTTGAAGATAATTTTAAATTCAAATTCAAAACCTTGAGAGCTGTCTAGTTCAGACTTTCAATCTGCTAAGAAAAATGATGTATTCAACAAACAATATATCTTTTTGGACCATGTAAACAGTAAGGGATAGAACAGATAATTTCATCACTGGCCTTTGGACCTTTTGCCCTCAAAAGATCTTGTATAAAAATCAGACCTGCTTTTAAAATAGCATCCCATGTTTCCACTATTTTTTGCATTGCCTTTACTTCCATAATTGTTAAGTCAAAAGACATGAAACAGGCTTTGATTGCAGAATAGTAACAGTAAACCTTTTCCCATGTTGGGCACAAGTCTTCCCTTGGCCTTGTAATAGCAGCTTACAACTGTGGAAGGAGTAGTGTTTTAAGGACTTTTAAGGATTCTTACCGGGTGTGAACAACAATAACAAAAATATTCAGAGCTCTGTGGGTTTTGTTTATATTTTGCTTTATTTTATTTAAGATTTCATGCATCCAAGGGCCATTTTTTGGTCTCAAGATGTGAGGCTAATGTAGTCAAAATTTGCTACAACTCCTCAAAGCCTTTTGTGAGTTCTTCCTTCAGACTTGTCAACTGAGACAGTTCACCAATTATAACACAAAGTACTGTCTTTACTCCCAGCCTTCTTCCTTTCCTGGCTTCCTTCTTTCTTCACTCTTGTGCAGTATAGGAATGAGGTTGTGACTGGGAGTCTGAAACCTCCATTTTGCAAATTGGTAATATGATTTTATTATCTGTATTGCTGAAAGCCACTGAGATACAGGGTGAATTCCTAATATTAGGCAAACATCATACAAATTCTTTACCCAGATTCCCCTTTGTTGAAGAAGGAATACTTACAAATTATTAATTTGGAGAAGTTGTGGTAGTTGTTTTTCAAATCTTAATTAAGCATAATTGCCTTTTTGTCCTTAAAAGCATATGGAGAGACTGTTAAATGAGTTTTCAAGGAAACGTGAGCTGATGGTTCTTGTTTAGTACAAGGAAAACTGATGAGCAGTTGGAAGAATTAGAAGCCATTACCAGAGAGAAGGCTCTAAATTAAAGCTGAACTATAAACTTCGGAATTGAGTAAGGAAAAAAAGGGTGGGAGAACTCTCACATACCTAATTATGATGTAATTCGATGGCAAGTATGTAAAGTTGATTTCAAGTACCCTAGCTATACCAGCAGAGGTTGTCATTGCACATAATTGTTTCATTAGTTACGACTTGTAAACGCATGGAAACATCATTTAGCTGTCCCTTTTGCAGTTAAAAGTATGGCTTCCCTGACAAAGTGTTGATTCCGTATTGAGGTTTGAACTAACAAAAAAATCCAGCTTATACTGTGCTTTGAAATGCTGCAAGCCCAGGTTTTTATTTTTTTTTAACTACCTTTGTTTTAATTATCTTTCAAAAGACAATGAGCTAAATAACCATTCTAATAGATAGTGATTTAATTAATCTCAGTTATTAAATCTGATCAGTCATTTAGAATACAGTCATTCATTTCCTGGACGGGGAATTGTAAATATAATGTATGGATGTTCACAGAAATAATACCTAAGACTGGTAAGAAGATAAAGAGGACAGGTCCAAGATAAAAAGACAGAGCTATATATAGGGACAAGGAGGAAACATTGTGTGCGCTTTAGTGTTACCCTCTGGAAAAACCCTGGGCTACTTTTCTTTGCTCATTCCAGGAGGATCTGATTTAGAATGTCCTTCTCTGCTTATTGGGGGCTTGCTTCCAACGAACAATAATGGACCAAAAGAGATGTAATCACTAGCCTGGGAAATTTATCACTGAAAAAGGACAGCAGAAATGTGGACACTAATGCAAGAAGACAAACAAACCCAAGCAGCCACCAAGAGACTAGCTTCAGGAATCAATCAATTTATTCTTCCCATTCTCATTCCCCTCATGGGGGTCAAAACAACTTGACTTTAATAATACAATTTTCAAGCCACTTACAAATCACGCAAATTGTGGTCTTTCTGATATGCTCTTAGGAGAGCAGCTGTTTTTTCCACAGAGGGAATAGCAAATACGACTGCGTGCATGCTTTTGAAGCAGCTTAAGTTTTTAAAAGGGAAAGGCTTCCATCTACTGGTTGCTTTGAGAAACAAAGACTGAGAATCCACATCAGATTTCCTTTTGTGCTAGCAATGCATAACCTGACATGTTCACTTAGAGGTTTTGTAATTCCTTTAAAATACATTTTATTGGAAAAATCTAGTTATTACCGAATATGTTCAGCTTTGACAAAATATAAAGCCTGCATTATATCACAAAAGCGAGTCAAAAGAAATATATGATTTATTCTTCTTTCCACTTGGAAACAATTATATGGAGCAGTTAAATACCCAATAAAGACATTCCATTTGTTAAGAAAATTCATAATGAAGATAGCTTTAACTGGGATATGAAGATGGTTGAAACAGAATGGGGTGTTTCAGTCCCCTCACTTTTCTTTTCTAAAAATTATATTGCTTTTAACTAACAAATCTCATCTTCATTAGAGTTCCCTTATTTTGAGTTCAGCTAACTCTATTTAATGACATATATTTTTGCTAATGTGTTGCATTATATAGTTAGAAAAGAACATGGGCATTTTTCTAAGCATATTTTGTAAATGAGATATATATATAAGTTGAGCTAAATTATGTATTTTATTCTGTAATGTTTTAAGTTAGCACATAAAGATAAAAAATACATTTTTCCAGCAGTCAGATTTTTTAAAGAATGTAAGAATTTAATGCTTTTATTTAAAACAAATTCCATTAATAATATTTTTTAAGTATACAGCACAATATCTTAGGGTCTGAATCTTACTAAAATCTTTTAAAAAAACATCAAAGTCAAAATTAATATCCAAATTATACTGAATATCTTTTATATCAAATGAAAACACATTACAGGTTAATCATGTCCACTTATAACTATGAGAATATTATGGCAAAAAGGACAATTTAGAAATCATGACAAGATTTTTTTTAATTCAAACTCATTCATATCTAGGACAGTATTATTTATGGGTTTTCTATGTTTCCATAAAGTGAGGTTGAAGAAATAAAGCAGAAAATTCTTAAGACTTTCCCCCTATACTAAAGCAAATACCTAAGGATTTGCAGATGCATTATCTACAGCTTTAACTCTTCCTTCCTTTATAAGTTAGTGAATGTATAATTCCACACCTAGAAAAGACTAAGTCTTGCTAAAGCAGAATTCTGTCAGGGTTGCTGTAGAACTTATTTTTAATATTCTTAGCTCCAGGACCTGGAATATAATACAATGTTAGGATCCACCTAGTTCAGGTATATTTTTATAATTCTATCTGAAGGATTGTCTAAAATAGTACTTCTTAAAACAGTTAAATGATTTTCTGAGAATAATTGGCAATGTAAATTGTTTATATTTAAATATATATTAGCATGGTAAGTATGTAAAACAAATATTAAATTACAGAAGAGAATATGATAATTCCTCTTTGATAAGGACCTAAATATTTCCATTCAGTGGTTTGTTTCTCTTTGGGTTGTCTGGGTTCTGTTCATTGTCTTTTTTGTGACCAATCTTTCTCACATATTTATGACCCGTGCAGATTGACAATAGAAATGTTTATTTCATTTTTGCAACTGAAAATTTTTTGGCATTTATAAAAGAAAGATAAGAGACAAAGGAAGGAAAGAAGATAGGAAGGGAAGGAGGGAGAGAGGCAGGGGAGAATTAGCCTTTTGTTTGCACTTGCCCCTCTAAATCAATCCTGGAACTATTAAATATAACAATAAAAGAAGGAACCACTCAGAGGATTTAGTCCATACATTCACCTCAAATTATTTAAATGAGACTTCACTAAAGCCTAGGGGAGGACACAGAGGAAATAAAAATGAAAAGTTACATAGGCATAGATAATCTGACTTAAAAATAATAGTTAACTCATTCTAATATGTCCCAGACATTCCTCTAGGTCCTAGGGCTCTAGAAGTACATGAAACAGACAAAATATTTTTTTCTTTTTCTTTTTTTTTTGAGACGGAGTTTCGCTCTTGTTACCCAGGCTGGAGTGCAATGGCGCGATCTTGGCTCACCGCAACCTCCGCCTCCTGGGTTCAAGGCAATTCTCCTGCCTTAGCCTCCCAAGTAGCTGGGACTACAGGCACGCACCAACATGCCCAGCTAATTTTTGTATTTTTAATAGAGACGGGGTTTCACCATGTTGACCAGGATGGTCTCGATCTCTTAACCTCGTGATCCACCCGCCTCGGCCTCCCAAAGTGCTGGGATTATAGGCGTGAGCCACCGTGCCCGGCCCAAAATATTTTTTTCTTTATTGTACTTACCTACTAGTATGATGAAAGACAATAAGATAGATTATGATAGCAGCTGAGGAAATCAGTAGATTTGAAAGGGAACTGGGTGAAGAAGCAAAACCATGTTAGATAGGGTAGCCAGAGGCTTCACAGAGAGTCTTTAGTGTGTTAATCATATGATGCTGTGTCCTAGGGGAAATCAAAGCTCAGTCTCTAAAGACATGCCACCCTTTTGGAGTGCCTTCCTTTTTGGCTAGATTATCTTGGTCTTCTTCCTTGTAGCTGCATTTATATGACCCCTGTCCTTATAGAGTGCCCCCAACCTCAAATATGCTACTCGCATTTCAGACCCACAGACTATTTTACCTTAAGTCCCTGTCTGAGGAATGAACACAGAGAATGCCAATTCTCTATAAGAGAAACCCACCCTTCCACACCACATTTAAGTACAACCCCCATTCAAGAGGTTCAGTAGGATCCCAGAAGGAGGTTGTTCTGCTATACTTGCTCAATATTCAGATTAAGAATTGATCATTTATCACAAGTGTTACTGAGACCCCTTGGTTGACTATCTTAGAAATGATCTGCGATGTGCAGCCTTGTGCCTTCACTTGAGAGATAAGGAAGTATATAACTAATACTTTAAGTTAGAGAGATTGACTTATTTCTGCATCTCCTACTATT